CTGTAACAGGAGGCCTTCTTGGGGCCGATTTTCCTGTGGTCCTCCAACCTGTTTCTGGGCTAGCTGCCCGCCTTCTCACTTGCCACACCTTGATGTTAATTAAGCGGGAGGCTGCCCATTTCTTGCCCTGATGTCAGGGGGCGCTGTCTGCAGCCCTGTTCCTCCCCTACACTGCAGCCCAAGCCGCGGAGATGATACTGGCATTGTCTTGCCTAGGCCTCATTATAATTCGGCCCCTTGTCCTCGCCAGGCTCTTCACAACCCTGTCTCTGCACCTGTCAAGTATTGCAGTCACTTGTAGACCTGTAGGACACTGCCTGCCGCTCGACTAGGGTGTTCTTGATTCTAGTTGGTGATCTACATGCCCACATTTCTTCTGCCACGACTTGATGTTAAAGGAGTTGGTTCATTACCTGTACATGTAGTCCAATTAGTAGTCTCACTGTCGTCCTGCAGGGTCCTACGTTCCTGAGGGCTCCGGCAGCCCTACACCCTCGCCCATTCCACCGGGTTCTGACCAGCCAGTTGGTCCTGCCACATCTCCTCAGTTCCAATCAAAACAAACAACAAAAGACAGGAAAAAAAACAAGAAAACAAAGAAGGCTCTCATGGCCTGTGTTGTTGTTCCTGCTGTTTGCAGCCAAGCTCCAAACAAAAATTGACCTTCGTGTGGTCAGTCCCTCTTTGGTGGCTCTCTCCCTCTCTCAGAGCCTCTTGTGGAGATTGCCATGATTCCTTTTAGCACCTTAAGTCCATCTATGACACCATCTTATTGGCTTGTGCCACTTTTACATGCATTATGGTACCGCGAAAGTCTATAGTGCCCCTCTATTAGGGGTATTACGGAACCATTCTCTCTGCCGGGCTTCACCAGCTCCCCTCGTGTAAACAAACAGTTCTGTGACCCATGGGGTCAGTAGTCTTGGCTCTAAGTCCCTGCTGTGGGACTTACTCTCTGCAAGAGTCTCCTACCAGCCCTCCACGTTGCTTTTAGAGTTCCCTGCAGCGTGTGTCAGCTCGCTCCTCCTCCTCCTCCTTCCAGTTTTGTGCTTTTCCTCTTTTCCTGTCCTGGGCTCTTCTTTATATTGGCGTGGGAGTTCTCTGCCCCTCTCCTCCTGAAACACATGGGTAGGGGAGATTTCTGCCGGGCTCCTTGGGGCTGTGGACCTGAGGTCGCTGAGCCTTTGTTTAGCCCGTGTACTTTGGAGCACAGTGGTTCCTTCTCTCTCTCACAGCGCCCCTGGGCGTTGGGCTCCCCATGCTGTAGTGGGCCCCCAATGAGGCCTCATCCTTCCCCAAATAGTCACACCCAAACCCCCGATGTTATCAGACAGCACACAAACAGCCAACATCCATGAGTCCCTAGGCTGTAATGTAATGCAAAACTCACGTCATGCTCTGCCCCTTTAGAAGAGTGAAACTCCCTCTCTGAGGCTCAGTGTCTAGTAGGCAAGGATGCCTTATGGGCTCTTGGTGTCCCCTTTGTTCTAAGGGTAGCGTATCTGCCAGCTACCACATCTCTGGGCCCTTCCTTCCCCTTTGGCTGCTGGTAGAGAACCAATTGCCTGGTCCCAGCCCTATGGTTTATATGGGCCTAGGGCCCTGCCTCTGGCCAGCTGACCAGTTGCAGGTGCTGCCAATTCCCTCATTAACCAGTTGTCATGGCAACCTGCACCCATGTTTTTATCTGGCTCTGTGCTCTCTCCCCGGGCAATCTCTGCTCTAAGAGGACCAGGCACCTTAGTGCCCTGAGACAGTTACCAAATACATTTAGTGTCTTTTTTAATGGTCTGCTCAGGTTTTGTGTTTGTGTATGGATGAGACTAAACCCCAAACATGACATGTAATAAACCTCAAACATGAAATGTATAAACAATTATTTATAGTGATAGAAATTTTCCACTGCTAGAAATGATTCTGGGAGCAGGAGTAGTAGTGATGTTCAGTCTAAAACTGCCTTTTCTTCCCTGCTCCTTGCACCTTCCCAAGACTGGCATGTTAGTAAGTCACTTGCCAAAGATTATCATTCCCATGGAATAGAAGAACTTCAGCTTTTATGAGAGGCAAGAAGGTGGATCTTTTAATGGATCAACTCAATAGATGGGAGAGAAGTTAGGCAATCTTTTGGGGCCAAGGGGTGCTTATATACATGCAGCAAGGCTGCTCTGACGCACTGTAATTATGCGATTAAGAGAGTCTGCTGGAGCGTGGTAATTACTGTGCTCTAGCAGACTCTAACATCACTTGTATCGGCATCCCTGTGCTGGAAAATGGTGGCAGGGGGCTTTAACTAAAGCTCATTTGACCAGCTTTAGTTGAAGCACCCCTGCTGCCATTTTTCAGCCCCGGGACACTGATACTGTGACACTCTGTGCTCTTTAATTAAACTGGCTCCCAGAGACCCCTCCATTCCCAGAGCACGTGTATAAATGCCCCAGGTGTCTTTCCTCTTGTCAACATCACTCCATACCTCCTTCAGCTTGTACGACAGTTAAAACATAGGAAATAGTAATTAGGATATAAGCTCTGCCATCCACAAATGACTAAAAACTTATATGAAATAGATGCATCCCTGTTAACCTGGATCCAGAGAGACCATGGTTATGCAAATCATGGTAATAGACAAAGTATCTACTGCCAGGTTTACTGGACAAGTGATTTGTATTGCTGAGTGGGGTCATCAGTTTTAAGTCATTGTGCTGATTACAAAAAGTGTAAGCTTGTAGCAGTAAACTTTTGATTCATTAGATATCCTTGAGAAAAAAATTCAATGAATTAGTAAAAAGCTTTCCTTTTACTGAATTTGCTGGGAAGCCATCCTCTAATGACCTTTATATGCTAAGTAGGATTTCCATTCTGAATGCTATAAAGGTATCCATTCTGAATGTTATTCCACTTTGAATACTATAAAAGTGTGAACTTTTTTTTATGGAGGATGACACATTGAAATCTGAGGATTTTCTAAGATTTGTCTAAAAGGTTGATTTTTAAGCCATTGTGCTGAACAAACTTCAATTCCCCAGTAAGTTCTGGAACAATATTGTTCAGTTAACCACATAGTTGAACAGCTCAACTATGGTTGTTTAGACTTCTCTACATTACCTTGTTTCAGAATATGACAACTTGGCCTCAAGGAAATGCCTTTTCATACTTAATTCTGCCTTAAATCTGCTTAAATCTGCCTTAAAAATGCTTAGATCTGAATAATGGGATTCAGTGATTTTTTTTCTAAGAATGTTATTGAGATATCATGTTGGTAGGTCCACTTGAAGTAATAAGGTATTTATTATAAGGTAATTATATTTTTCTATCCAGAATATCTGAATGGCTTTTCAGACATAAAATAATAATCTCTGATACTTCAGCATGTCCCATGAAAGAGGGGAACTTAAAAATATATGAGCATAATGGTATGTATGTTATGATTGAGATGGAAATATAATAAGATAAAGTTGAGTGATAGAAATTTGGACTGAAAATTTGACAAAAAAATTGTAAACCCTGAAAGCTTATAGCGTGTGTAATATAAAATTCTAGAGAATGCATTGCGGGGCAATGAGCTAAATGACCAAATAAGACTCTTCCATCTTTAATTTCCTTACTTAATCATATGGAAATTGGTTTAGACTTCTGTGTCATCTTTCTCCCATTACTTTCTCCCACTTCTTGGTTTTTACACTGTCCCTATTTCTGTAATTTTTAAATATTTATAACAAAGGTTGGAATGACTCATTAAGTTTACCAATAGTATTGCACTGTGGGTTTAATCAAAATTGACATACCTATGACCATTCAATTTCTCTAAATTACAGCAGCAACAACAGCAAAATATGGAAGAAAGATAACACAAAAGATTAAGTGCAAGCCTAATTTGATAATCATGTGCACCTCCTGTATTTAGAAAAAGTTTATGCTGTAATTCAGCCAGAAGCATTTCTTCATTAGGGCACTTAAAGTTAATAGTTTAGAAACCAGGTACAGTTTTCCAATGTCTGAAATGCTTATATTAGTTGAGGTGCAAATGTTTTTAAACTCAGTTACAAAGTATGTTTCATGTTGTTTAAAAATGTGAGAAGCATATACAAGGGTATAAATTCTTAGGCTTCTAGGACTTTCACGTTGAAACATTTTATCATCTTTTGTATAAACAAGAGTCATAGGCTGGTGGTACTCAACTTCTGGCTCATGGGGCCTTGTCACCTGCTCCCTGGGGTTTCCCATAGGTCTAGAAATTTGATGGTAGGGGAGCAGTGAGTGTTCCAAAGCCTTGGCAAGTAACATTACCACCGCACCCCTGCTGCCAAACTTCCAGACCCCTAGCAGGGTCCTTCAGGCCAGAAGATGTGACCCCATGTGCCAGATCATGTCAGCATGTGTGGTTGCTCCAGAAATGGATCCTGGCATGCAGTCAGGGCAGTGTATTGGGCCAGATTCAACACCTGGGTCTAGAGCTGTACATCAGATTGCACCTTTGCAGACTGGCCCTATGCCATCACCTGGCCCGCAAGGCCAAAATGTTGATCACCAGTGACATGGCCTAATGAGCCAAGATTTTTAGAAGGTCTGCCATCTTTATTTGTTACCCACTGGTGCTTTGGGTTCATTCTTGGAGACAAAGGAAATAAGCCAATGCTGAGTAATGTATATAGTGTAAATTTTACCCTGTTTCATGAAACTGAATGGATGTGTAAATTTGCCCTTTGTGCCATATTCAGTCTGAGTACTTCCATATTACCTTTGTGAAGTTGTAACAAGTTATCTGAAGAATTTAATTTTCTTCATATTGTGTAGGCTGCAAAACAAGCTTGGAATATTTTAAGGTGTGATGGTGTAGAGTGGTATATGTGCTTTTCTTTTTCTCTTTCTTTTCTTTTCCTAGAACCTGTGTCCTACATGCTGCTGTCTACAGCAATAGGTCAGCATGCAATTTTTTTCTATGTTGGGATTAGTTCTATTTTAGCACTACATGTAAATACCACGTTTTTTTCCCAAATATACAGCTCTCTAATTCTGCTGCATTGGAAGGGAAAGGGCAGTTAAAATTTACTTCTGGACGATGGAGCCCACATCACAACTGCACACAAGTTGCAACAGCCAATGACACTACCATTCGAGGATGGGATACACGAAGCATGAGGTAATGAAAAAATGCTCCTTTGGTCTTAAAGAGGTATTTTTTCCTTAACGTTTGTATTAAAAATTGAAAATAATATGGTTACATAGTTAATGAATGGGTTTAGATTGCATAATAACATAATATAATAATGCAATAATAACATAATATAATAAGCAATAATATAACAATAACATAATATAATATGTAACTTTAATAAAAAAGTTTTCTCTTTTTTTCTAAGCACCAAATCTGACTTGCATATTGAGTTATTGAGGAACTATGCAGTGACTGCAATTTGTTGGTTCAGTACACAGTCTAGGCATTACTTAAGCTGAACTGCTCTGTAATTAAACTTGAAAATCAGTATTTAAATCAAACTGCCTGAACTAATGGTTGCTTCCTTACTGCATTATTTAAAGGTGATTTAAATCTTTAGATATAAGCTAAAGTTTTACTTTTATGATTTTAATAATGATAGTATCTAAGATTCTAACATGCTAGTTTTACATAATCCTGGATTTATTTAAAAAAAAAAGTATGACCAAAGACAAATAAAACCTTTCAAATATACAAAATAAGGGACTTCTT